CATCCCAGTGCGAAGAAAGGAAATAATAAGTCTGCAAGGGGCAGCAACCATATGGTGAAGTGGGCTGACCACTAGTAGAAAAAGGGGCAAATCTGAGACACATTAGTGCGAGTTTGATTTTGAGCCGGCACTAATGTGTACATTAGTGCCGGTTCCAACGGCTAGCCAGGCCGCTCTCATTAGTACCGGTTCGTGGCGAACCTTTAGCACCAGTTCGTGCCACGAAGCGATACTAAAGAGAGTGGTGGTAGGATGTCAGTCTGGGGCCCGTCCAGCACCTTTAGTACCGGTTCGTGGCACGAACCGGTACTAAAGGTCGACGTACATAAACCCTTCGTCCACCCGAGCCACTCTGTTCTTCCCCTTTCCCCTCACTTCCTCTGTTCTTCCCCTCTCTTCCTCGAGCTCCTCACAAATTTTCCCCAAAATTTGTCAAGATTTGAAGGCCCCCATCCATTCAAATGATCACAAAGGTTAGCAACTTTGTCCTTTCAACTCTCATTGCTAGATTAGCTCTTGCAATGCTTTGTATAGTGATTAATTTGGGAGGATTTATATTTGCTAGTATTTGATTTATATGCAATTTGAGGTTAAAAATAACACTTAGTTTGCATATGTAGGTGTGGTTTACTTAGTGCCTTCTAAATCTCCGTCATAACCACCGTCGATCGCCCGCACCGTCCCGTCGCTGGCACCACCTTGTGGTGAGGCTCTTGTTCATGAATGTTTTACTGTAACGCCCTCGATTCAATCGTACACTAATCATACACGCAAATGTGTACGATCAAGATCAAGGACTCGCGGGAAGATATCACAACACAACTCTAGACACAAATTAAAATAATACAAGCTTTATATTACAAGCCAGGGGCCTCGAGGGCTCGAATACATAAGCTCGAATACACAAGAGTCAGCGGAAGCAACAATATCTGAGTACAGACATGAGTTAAACAAGTTTGCCTTAAGAAGGCTAGCACAAAAGCATCTACGATCGAAAAGGCAAGGCCTCCTGCCTGGGAACCTCCTAACTACTCCTGGTCGTCGACGGTCTCCACGTAGTAGTAGGCATCGGCGGTGGCATTTGATTCCTGGGCTCCAACATCTGGTTGCATCAACCGGAGAGAAAAAGAAAGGGGGAAAAGGGGGAGCAAAGCAACCGTGAGTACTCATCCAAAGTACTTGCAAGGAAGGATGTACACTACATATGCAACATTATCAAAGGAAGGCAGTATATGTGGACTGGGCTGCAGAAATGCCAGAATAGAGAGAATGCCTAGTCCTATCGAAGACTAGCATCTTCTGGAAGCCACCATCTTGCAGCAACAGGAGGGAGTAGAGTAACATAAAGTAAAGTAGTAGTAGTGTTATCAACCTCGGCCAGAGATCCTTTCTCGACTCCCTGCGAGAAAGCAATCCCAGAGCCATACTATCCAATTGTCATCACAATCCAATTCTCATCACCATCCAATTCTCATCACAAGTATCCAGTTCTAGTTGTATCGATCGGGATACAACTCCGAGCGTCCGTTACCATAGGACAGGCTATCGATAGATGTTTTCTTCCCTGCAGGGGTGCACCAGCTTACCCACCACGCTCGATTAACTCCGGCCGGACACACTTTCCTGGGTCATGCCCGGCCTCGGCCAAACAATACGCCGCAACCCGACCTAGGCTTAATAGAGAGGCCAGCACGCCAGACTAAACCTATGCCCCCAGGGGTCATGGGCCATCTCCCTGGGAACTCCTGCACGTTGCGTGGGCGGCCGGTGAGCAGACCTAGCCTCCCTTATACAAGCGAAGGCGTAACCAGTCCAACCCGGCGCGCGCCGCTCAGTCGCTGACGTCTATTAAGCTTCGGCTGATGCATACGACGCAGAACACCCATACTATGCCCATGTGATGGTTAGTGCTATCAGGCCAGAGGCCCCTCGGATCAAATATCCAAACCATAGTGCGTTGGTAGTGCAGTTACAAGCAGAGACTCACGAAAGATGTTACCCCGTCGCCCTGTCTCGAGGACTTGCGGCAAGGGCTAAGAATGCCCGGCCGCGCCTCATATTCAACTCTCGGGTACCCTCCAGGTCAACCCGTCTCCACATCACTCGCGGGTACCCCTCAGGGTTGACCCGCCTTTCCAAGTAACAGTTGTAAAGTCCAAGTATCCGTGTGTCCAAACATCAAGGTGAAAACCCGAGGAATCACCCCTGGTGAATTCCACTCAATGTAATCATCAAGGTGAACGTAAGAGGAATCACCCCCCGAGGTTCACACTTGTGGGGTTGCACGACAGAGTCGTATCGGAAGTGGTTAAGGCGGAATCACCCTCGATGACCACGACCGAATAGCTACACTACAGGGTTAACATCAGAAGTGTTGTAGAGGTCTCACACTCGGCACTCGATAGTAACCCAGTAGTGTCGAGCAACTAAGGGGAAAGTGATGTGCGGTGTCGGGGCCTGGTATTCGATCCCGTTGATCGGGTCTTCAATGATGAAGCAGGGGCAACAAGGACAAGGTGGGGGTCACTGATGGATCACTAACCAACCTATACTAAGAAGTTTAGGATAAGCAGTTTAGGATAAGCAGGCAAGGTACAACAGCAGATACAAAAGCAGGGTATGCATCAGAATAGGAGCAAACAATAACAATAGCAAAATCTAATGCAAGCATGAGAGATGGAATGGGCGATATCGGGATGATCAAAGGGGGGGGGGGCTTGCCTGGTTGCTCTGGCAAGGAGGGGTCGTCGGTGACGTAGTCGATCACAGGGGCAGCATTGGTCTCGGGGTCTACCGGAGAGAAGAGGGGAAAGAAACAGTAAATATAAAGCAAACATAGCATAACAGGACAATAAGCAGAGCTAGACGTGTTCTAACGTGATGCTACACGATACCGGCGAGGGGGGGAAGTCAACTGGGAATGTTTTCCCGGTTTCGGACCTGTGTCAGACAGATAACCGGAGGGGAAAAGTTCCATGTTCAGCATGCTAGGGGCATGTGACATATGAACGGACCGCGTATCCGGATTCGTCACGTTTTTTTGAGCAACTTTCATGTAGAAAACATTTTCATCGGAGTTACGATTTAATTACTATGATTTTTGCAAGTTTAAAACATATTCTGGAAATAAATAAATTATCAGAAAAGGAAAATATGACGTCAACAGAGTGTCAGCATGACATCAGCAGGTCAACAGACCCGCTGACTGGTCAAACTGACCAATGGATCCCACCTGTCATGGACAATGGACTAACAGTGGGTTATTTTAATTAAATGTGGTTCATTAGCAGCTGGGCCCCACATGTGAGTGACTCACTAGTTTAGTTAATTACTTTTAATTAGAAAAAGCTTTAATTAGGTTAATTATGCGGTGGGGCCCGTGTGTCAATGGCACTGAGTGCCCAGTCAGCATAGTTGACCACGGTCAACGTGGTCAACTAAGTCCAGGGGGCCCATGGGCAGCGACCCAGAGGCGGGCCCCGCCGGTGCCAGGTCAGCGCTGGCGCCGGAGTAACGCATGCGAGGCCATCCGCGGCGGCTGAACGCCTGAGACGACCGGAATCGCGCTACGACGCATCATTTGAGCCGTGGTCGGGCGCGTTCGAATGGTGAGGCTGGACCGCATCCAACCATGATGGTAGCGCGGGCCGTAACTGCCGGAATCTTCGCCGGCGGCGAGTGGAGGCGGTGGTGGCGTTCGGGAGGTGGTCGGGTTTCG